GTAAGTAGAGCTTCTGTTCCTGACGGAGGGACTCCTCCGGGGGCGTCCCTCGCTCCGCCTTCGGGTAGAGAGAGAGAGACGGGCTCAACCGGGCCGAATAAGGGGTGACCTTTACACCTAATTAAAACTGAAAGTTGTAACTTGGGTTTAGTAATGCTAGAAAGGTTCCTGAAGATAGTTTGCTTGTCGCTCGTGCAAAGGGGCGCCGTTGCATGCTGTGCGAGAGGCAGTGTTTTTTTTTTTTAATAATTATTCATAAAGTCAACAGTGTGGATGTTTTTTTCGACTGATACTACGAAGTGCTATAGAAATATGTGAAAGATAAACGAACAGATGTAGAGATGATGAGCAATGTAAGTTTAGAATCAATAAATTATTCATAAAGTCAAAACTGTGGATGTCTTACGAATGATACTATGAAGTGCTATAGAAATATATGAGAGAAAACAAATAGATGTAGTGGTGATGAGTAACTGTAAGTTCAGAGACGATCGTATATCGAAGGGTGTCTTAATATAGCCACAATCATATCACATGACCTAATATATCTCTAAAATAACTTTTAAATGGATCGTAGGACTCGGGACTAAAAAAACAACAAAACAAACAACAGTTATATCATCTGAAACAACAGTTATATCGCCTGAACGAAGTCAACATGATCAGAATGAAAACATAAACTCATATCAACATTGCAAGTGCAGAAAAAGAAATAATATAAGTCTGATTCGCACAGTTATATCATCAAAATGAAAAATCACTATAGCCCAAGTTATTTCCAACTTTATGACCTGGGGAGGGGTGGGGGGGTAAGTCGCCAGGGGGGTCAGGCGTGGGGTTGGAGGGGGGGGGTCGGAAATACAGGAACGTTGCCAGTCGAGGTCAGGAGACACGGCAATTGAGGTCAAGTGTTGAGAGAGAAAACTGGGGGATGCTTAGCCTTCGTTTGGCGCGGTTTGTCTGGGATAGAAATTTAACTTTGTGGCGAAAGGCTGGACTGGTCAGAGTACACACACAAACACTTGTTTATTGTGTCTATACGCTAGCTTATACATAACTAACGACGATGGAAATACACGAATGGAATACTCATCTTACTGGGCGTGTTTTGCTGTCGGTAAGGTCGAAATTTGATAAAAAGTATCATACGGAAATACATCTTTTGAATTTTCTTTGACAGATAATACGAATAAATTTTTTTATGACATGGGGGATTCGGCCGTATTTCTCGCTGATTAGCAAGCAGGTGTTCCTTAGAGAAAGGTGTTTACATCACATATGAATACCAGATAAGTCAGAGGTTATGAATGCTTACCTGGCTTCACCTGTGACGTCAGTTACATACAGTTAGAAATGTACGAACGAGACACTCCTAGAAGCTTAAAGAAGGAAAATATAGCTTCCTCTTTTTCGAATTTATGAAAGGAATTTTAATCTTTTTGCTGTTGTGGGTTAATTGGTTTTAATAGTGTGATGTCATTAGATATTCGAGGCAGATTTTTCACACTCAAAGGGGGCGCTCGCTACAAAACTCGTTTGTGTTTCAAGAATTGGCTCAAAGCACCCATGCCTGAGAGAGGGAGGGAGAGAGAGAGAGAGAGAGAGAGAGAGAGAGAGAGAGAGAGAGAGGGAGAGAGGAGAGAAGAGAGAGAGAGAGAGAGAGAGAGAGATTTAGGGAGAGGAGGGAGAGAGAGAGAAAGAGAGAAAGAGAAAGAAAGAAACTCCATAAAGCTGAATCCATTCTAGTGTGACCAACAAGACAAACAGTCCCCCCTGCCATAAGCTCGTGTTTTCGACGTGTAACCGACCGATTTTTGTCTCCTCAATGATCCCATCCTTGGGAGTTTTTGTCATAGTCTTTGCTACCATTTTCCTTCTAGTCTTGTCTTGTTTTTTTAGCTATTTTCGAGGCGGTTAAGTTTGATCGGTTGTACTGATAAAAGGAAAATGAGGTTTTCTGCTTTTATGCTTGAGAAACTAGAAAAGGTTGTGTCTTTTTAAAGAAGAGAGAAGAGGATGATTTTCAAAATATTTAGCTAAAGGAAGAAAGAATTAAGAATGACATTTTCACTTATGATAATCAGTTTATATAATCTTTTGAATTTTAGAAAGATAAAAAACATACTACCCTATATGAAAACATCCAAAATAACTATTTGCAATCTATGCTTCCTTGAGTTCTATGTCTGCAAAATAAAGTTGTATCTACATTAATCCTGACAGTGAATCTCATATTTTTTGGTCTATTTACATGTATGATGATGAAGTTGCAACAAAACTGCTATCTCAATTGATCACGGTTGGCTTAGTCACCGGTAATCCAGCAGATAATAGATTCAAGTCAGCTGGGGTTAAAATCCATCAATAACTTGAATAAGATTTTGGGCATCAGTTAAAACATATTTATTTTTTGAATCGTAAGGAAGTCGAAAATCGCTTGTGAAGGTATCTAGTCTATATTCATAACTCTTTTATCTTGCGAATTTCAAGATATGGCAAGAAAACAAGCACAAACTTAACACAACTCTTTTATCTCAGGAATTCCTAGCTATGACAGGGATACAAGCCCAAACATAACTTAAAGATATACATAATGAAGTCCTCGACAGACAACATATGACACAACTCAATTTATCTCACGACTTCTAAGATATGACAGCGATACAAGCCCAAACATAACTTTAAAAAAGATCCATAACTTAAGTCCTCGACAGACAACGTATTATATAACCCCCCCCACCCCTCACCCCCACCCACCCACCCCACCCAAAAGCGGCAAGTTCAAAAGACACACTCAGAGGGTTATTCCCAGAGAGCCTGACGTCTGTCTGGGATGCTGCAGTTAAAGTGTTGCTGGTCTGACCGTGTGATTGTGGCTTCCCGTGGTGCCAGCTGCCCGGGCGTGCTGTCCCGGACGCAGGTGTGGGGTAGGGGGAGAGAGGGGAGGGGGTGAGGGGAAGGGGTAGAGGGGAAGGGGTAGAGGGTAGAAGGGGGAGATTGAAAGGTCCTCTTGCCAGGTCTCGTCGCAGTGGATGTGAAAAGGGAAGTGTTTGTGTATTATATGTAACGGAGAAGGAGACTTTCTGACGCAGACACACGCCACCCCCGCACGTGGATAGAGAGGGACATACAGACATACGTGCACGTAACCGATACAGGTAACACATAGTCAATGAACTGTAGTCTTTTCACAGTATAATTAATTTACGATAATACCTATTTCTAAGATCTTACCGAATATTTAGATCCTTAAATAACCGATAAAGAAATGTGAAATAAGAACTTCAAAACACATCCCCACGTACCGTCTCGTTTTTACAGTAACACACACATACAAGAAGACACTATACTCTACGCACACACGCATTGTTATATCACCCAGACGCATGACTTTACTAAGTAGCACACCTTGCATAGAGGGGGGGGGGGGGAGTTACTGTGAATATAATACCAGTGCCCTTTTTCGCAGCACAATTCTCATCATTCCAACAGCAATACATAAACCCGATCCACCTTCCTTTTAAAAACCAGCGGAAATCACTCAGGGGAATGTATATGAACCGTTCGATTCTCCCGTTATAATTAGTGGAATCTCCTGGGTTGTAATGGAACGACGGTATACATATATATATATGCGATTCTACACATTACTCACAGAGGTCAGGCATAAGATCGGAGACGTGATGAAATAATTCTAAGGAGCAAGTTCAGATATTACCGAGAAAGGTTAGGAGGTAAGGTGGGTCCTGGGTGGTTGTGGGGGCATTGGTGGAGAGGGTATGTTGGGGTAGGAGAGGGGAGGAAGGAGGGGGAGATGGGGGAGGAAGCGAAATGACGAAAGAGAAAACCGACTTGCCATGAATGGGTCTCGAAGTGTGCTATGGGCGAGGGGGTGGTGATGCCTCGGTCTTATGCCGCGCTGTTGGTGGACTATTCCTATTGTGGTTAAGCCGTTTATAATAAATAAGAAAAGACATCTTACTTATTCCTATTTTATTGTCTTTTACACTTTTTTTTGTCTTATTAACGAGGTTTAGAAAGATAGACATCTTATTTCATATTAATTGTCTTTTACACTTTTTTTTCTCTTATTAACGAAGTTTGGTAAGCAAGACATCTTATATATCATATTGTCTTTTTTACACATGTCATTTTTAACGGGGTTTAATAAGAAAGACAATTTATTACTTATTGTCCTTTACATATTTTTGTTTTATTACCGAGGTTTAGTAAGAAATAAGACATCTCTTTCATATTGTCTCTTTTTTTTTCTTATTAACGAGGTTCAGCAGGAAATAAGACATCTAATTCCTTATTCATATTGTCTTTTACACATTTTTTCTCTTATGAACGAGGTCAACCTGTATTTATGCATGTTTCAGACGTGTTTCAAATACATTTCAGTTTTAGTCTCTATTTTCCCCCATCTCGCTTCAGTGAATCTATTGTGCAGGTATAAAAGATATTTAAGTCGAATTTTTGTTCTTTCTACACCCTTTTATTTCTTTAATTATATTTCAAATGGTCAACCTGCTATTACGATTATAATTAATATTTTTTATATATGTGATATATTGTAGATATAGATGGTAAATATTTTTGTATATATATATATATAATATATATATATATATATATATAAATAATATATATATATATATATAACCTCTCTCTCTCTCTCTCTCTCTCTCTCTCTCTCTCTCTCTCTCTCTCTCTCTCTCTCTCTCTCTCTCTCTCTCACTCTCTCTCTCTCTCCTTCCCCAAATTACTCTCTCCTCCATCATCTTTATCACTCTCGTTTCCTCTGCTTCTGTCATGCTGTCATCATTAAGCTCTTTCTGCCCTGTAAGAGGTCACGCGAAGAGGCCAAGATGACGTAATTCACAAGGCGGGAAAATTTGAAAGGAGGGAAAAAGGCGGGAAAATTAAAAAGAGGGAAGAAGGCGGGAAATTTAAAAGAAGAAGAGGGCGGGAAATTTAAAAGAGAGAAGAAGGCGGGA